GCTGACTCGGGCTCCCTGGGCTCAGGCGGCAGGGCTGTAAAATTGCTGTGTAGACATCCAGGCTCAGGTTGGAGCCGAGGCTCTGGGATTCTGTGAAGTGGGAGAGTCCCAGAGGCAGGCTCCAGCCTGAGCCCGAACTTTTACACAGCAATTTTTTGACCTGCAGTTCAAGCAGTAGTCACTGACCCAGGCCGGCCACGGCTGTGCTGTGGGTCTTTTGTTCCAGTGCAAACGTACCCTTAGAGGCTCAGTCCAGCGTTCCAGGAGGTGACAGACTCCAAAGGGGGTTACATATGCAGATTAATACACTAAATAATTGTCATAAAATGTCACACAAGTAGCAGAACAAAATTTGGCAGCTGGGCTACAAACTTCCTTACTACCCTCCTTCCTGGCTTCAGGCTACAACATTACAGTACACACCATCTTGGGATGTAGCCATCTTCGCTGAGGGCAACCTGCCTTCATACCCTTAGGAAACAATAACCACTTTTAGAGAGAACAAGATATAACATGATGCCTGAAACTATTCCTGTGATCCTGTCCAGGTTAAATAACCTAGACGCACAAACTGCAGGGGTCGTGATAGAATAGTGAGGGTCAAACAGGAGTAACAACAGATCAGGGCTTGGAGGAAGTCATTGCATGAGAGATTTACAAACTAAGGTCCAGATCTTCAATGGGATTATAGGCCTACCTCACATTGATTTCAATGGGAAGCAGATGTCTAAATATCTTTGAGGATCTCACCGTTAGTGACTCATTTCAGATGCCCAGTGCCCCTACAGCTCCAGGTGAAGTGAATTGGAGCTGCGGGGGCTGAGCAACTCTGAAAATCAGGCCCTACGTATGCATTGTTTAGTAGCAGTAAATTCCAGTTGAGATCCCTGCCTGGGGACTGCCCAACTGAGGTGCTGAATCAACACATTTGGGCTGGTCCTGCCATTTCTGTGGCTGTGCCAGCTCTGACCCTTGACAAAGAGGAGGTTACAGACAGACTTAGGACAGTGGGGCCCACAACCTGGATCGTTAATCAGTTGACTATGTTGACTCTCCCCCTTTACTAGCATGGTGAGCAGTGAAGAAGTGGAAGGATCAGAGAATGCCCTGTATCTCAGCCTATCCAAGGTGTGTAGATATTGCCTGATGAGTGCACAACCTACTGTCTTGCTTGAGCTGTACTAAGTGTATGGCTGTTTTCATATCTGCTGTGCTTTTTACAAAAATGCAGTCTGATTCATACAGATCTTTCTCATAAGTGTCATAGTTGGGCACAACTTTTTTGCACTGACATCTGCAAAAACTCCCTTTTTTATTTTTGTAGTGCATTTCTGGAACTTCCACTAACAGAGCACAACAGTCTGCAAATTTTGTCATCTCAAGTGTAATTACAACCCCCTTCTGCCAAGAAAAATTACTACATGACCATGGGCGGGGTTGAACCAGACTTTGGCTTCAGCCCCAGGCCCTAGCGAGTCCCAACCCACAGTTTGAAAACCTCGGTAGAGCATTGAACAGGACTGAGCTAGACCCTGATGCCCCCCGAGCCAGTGTTCCCATCTCCCATTGTCTCAGGGAAAGAGAGTTAACAGCTTTGGCTGCTGTCTCTAGTGTTACCCATCCTCATGGGGCAGGGAAGTTCTTGCTGCAGAACTCCCATTGCTTCTCATCACAAGGGCTCAGTGAGAAAATCCCTGCTGGCACCCCATGCCAGAGAGCAGAAAGAAAGATGATGGGAAATCTAAACCAGGATATAAAGTAGAGAGGGAAAGTGGAAACGGAAGGAAGACCAAGGACAAGGGAGATGTAGAAGGTTACATTCCATTATAGAATTGTTACATAGACAGATGCTGAAATCCCAGCTCTGCTTGGTCACTGCCACTAAGATTTGTGAGCTTCCCTTTCCTCAGACTGTACTTGTCAAGGGCATTCTGAAACTTGTAGTGTTGTGTCTCTCTCTTTTTTCCTTTATCCAGATCATTAGCATTTTGGCTCAGGCCCATCTGTACAGGAAGCCAGCTCTAACCTGGAGCTTCTACCTGTACAGTCTGCCCTCTGCTTCCTGAGAGACAATACCCAGCGTGAACACAGAGCTATGATCAAACATATGTTTTTTTTATACACTCATGGAGGTGAGGAGAAGAGACCTCATGTGGCTAGAGAACTGTAGCATGGCAGCAGGATTCTAGAGAAAAGGGTGAGTTGTGTAATCAACCCTTGAAGTAGGGACTAAAAGATGGAGAATTAATTTTAATGCTGAGACAGTTGAGAGAGTAAGCACAGGGATTTCAAGCAATGGAGTAATGTGACTACAAACAAAGTGGCTGTGCCAGCACTGAAACTTTTTTAGATGGTCTCCCTGGATTTCTTTCATAGTTTAGCGCTATTTTCCATTCATCCTTTTGTACCCATTTCTCTGTTGAACATTCATTTTTCTTAAAGCTTGCTTTTTAAACTCTGCACAATAAATTAATACTCAGCTGTGCTGTTAGATACATAAGTGCTTCTTGCTTCACTTGCTGTGAGTTTCAGCTCATTTGCACCTCTCAATATAATTTGAAACAGGTGTTTGTTTCAGTAACCACTGTATTGTTGAACAGGGTTCCCCAACCAGGCCAATACTGAGGTAAATGGAATGTACTGTATGAGTGGGAAAGAGCAGAGTCACTTTAGAAGTGTAAAAATGCTTAGCGCATAGAATCATCAGACATGACTTACCTTGTGCAGTAATAAAACTGAATTTGCCCCTCCTGCTATCTTTGCAGAATTACTTTACACTTCATATGTTTTGAATCTTCCAAGCACTGTACTAATGCTCATCTTCCCAATTCCCTCATGTGACGGGTAGGCAATATGGTGTGTTACAAACTGTGTTGAAATTACAAGCACTCACTAGAGAGAGAGAGTGTGTGTGTGTGTAATTGGTGGTTGTGTTTTAGGGAGGGATAGCTCAGTGGTTTGAGCATTGGCCTGCTAAACCCAGGGCTGTGAGTTCTATCCTTCAGGGGGCCATTTAGGGATCTGGGGGGGGACAATCTGTCTGGGGATTGGTCCTGCTTTGAGCAGGGGTTTGGACTAGATGACCTCCTGAGGTCCCTTCCAACCCTGATATTCTATGATTTCTGGGTTCTAAGGAATAAAGTAGTAGTATGCTGCAACCTTTCAGAAAGAGTATACATGTTCCTTTTTTTTCTAACTTTCCATGTATGCCATGAATAGAACGGGTACATGGCATTACCTTTCATTTTTCAAATGAAAAAACAGAGGCAGATCTTAAGCCCCATCCCCAACACAACACAATAAGTTAGTGACAGTGGCAGAATTAGAATTAATCAGTCCATAGCTGCTGGTCCTGTGTTCAGTCCACAAGGCCACATTTGTTTCCTTATCAGTGAAGTGCCTACTTCGGATAATCAGGAATAGATTAAAGGAGAATCCTTGGATCGAGGCCTTGTGCTCAGAGGGGATCTAGCAGTGAATTGGAGGGAGAGCAGCAGGTGCAAATGCCTGTTACTTCTAGTTCACTGTCTGCTGGGCTGGGCTCTGTTGCCTTGGCTGGATAGGGAACTAGGACTCAAGTGAAAGGAATACAACTGTCCCCCCAGGGAAGTGCTGGGAGGAAAGGTCTGCAGGAGGGATGGGATGGGCTGGGAGGAAATGTTTTGTGTGATCTGGAGATGTGGGTTAAGTTCAAAAGTGATGGGTTCTCTTTAGCCTTAATCCTCCCTACATCAGCGTAAATTTCTAAAGATCAGAAATGTCTCTTGGCAGTGATCATGGGCAAGTTTTTAGCTGAGTTCAAGTGGCATTCAGTGCTGTGCATAACAGCACAGGATCAGATTCTGATCTGCTGTAAATCCAGAATAAAGGCATCAGCTTTACTGAAGTTACCCCAGTGTAACTCTGCTCCGAATCTGGCACTTCAGTCGTGGCCAAGAAAAATTTACAACAGAAGTCGGGTATCAAAATTCCAGGTGTAAATGTTGCTGGCCTCGCATGGTACTTTGGCTAGGATTTTTACTTTGGAGCAGGGGGTCAGAAACATTTTCATAGCGTGGGCCACCTCTTATGGTAGTATAACCTAGTGGATAGGGCTCTGATCTGGGACTCAGGAGGTGTGGGTCCAATTTCTGGTTCAGCCATTGGCCTGCTAGGTGATCTTGGGCAAATGATTACATTGCTGTGCCTCAATTTTCCCATCAATTAAAAAAGGGGATAATAATATTGACCTTGGAAAAGGGCTTTGAGATCTAAAGATAAAAAGTGCTAAATTAGCAGTATTTATTTATTTATTATTAATGGAGTATCCCATAAACCAACTTTCCTTCTCACATACTTTTGGATAACAGCCCTGTAGCAACCACAGCAATTGCATTAGTATTAGAGCTGATCAAAACCCCGAAAGTTTTCCCAGGAGAAATTACAGTTGAAAAATCTACATGTTTGAAATTTTTCAATTGCAAAATTTGGGTTTCCTGTGGGAAGCTTTGAACTGATTTGAAACTATCAGTTGTTTAATTTGGTTTAAAATGTCATTTTGTTTGGTTCTTCAGTTAATCCCCTCCCTCCCCCAGATTTTTGTTTTAAACCAACATTTTGACTTACTGGTAAAAGTTTCATTATTATTTTTTTTTAAACCAAAACATCCAAACAACATGACATTTTAAGTGTAAAAGAAATAACATTTTGGTTTGGAAATTTCCTGTGAGAGAACCAACTATTTTGTCTGAATTGATACTGTCCAGGGGAAAACTTTGGTTTCCACACAATTGTTTTTTGCAGTGGGAAAACTTTCCTCATGAAATACTAGAGAGACAAGGTGGGTGAGGTAATGTGTTTTATATTGGACAACTTCTATTGGTGAGAGAGACAACGGTCAAGCTTACACAGAGACCTAAAGAAGTGCTGTGTGTGGATTGAAAGTTAGTCTCTCTCACCAACAGAAGTTGGTCCAATAAAAGACATTACCTCACCCACCTTGTCTCTCTAATATCCTGGGACCGACACGGCTACAGCTACACTGCATCCAGACGAAGAATGTCGACCAGTTTTATTTAATGTTAGGAAAGTTTAAATGTGTGGGTAGCTGTCTTTAATACAGTGTGATAGCTGGAAAGGAAAAGAAGCTAGCACCACTCGGCCAGGCAACTCTGCAGGTGGTCTGCGGCTCACTGTGGTGGTCCATATACCACAGTTAGGGAGTCTCTGGTTTGGAGCCAGGATGAGATAATTTAAGGGGAGAGTGCTGGCCTGGTGGATTTAGCTGGCTGGATATCTTCCTCCCACTTCTTTCCCCCCCAATCTCCCTTTCCTATGGCTTATAAATTGACTATAAAATGTCCTTGATTTGGTTGCAATGTTTTATTTCTCAAGTCGCTCCCCTGCTTCTTCCCCTTGGTAAGTCACACATGCACCCTCCCGCCTTTCCTGTTCTCTCCCTGGAGGTATCTGCAGCTGCTGTCCCAGACTAGGATTTATAGTCCTCTGGGATGATCTCTGGACCAAGCTTCTAGCTAGCAGCTGCTGGCTAGGGCAGGGGAGGAGCGAGTTGAGTGGAGAGGAGGGAGGCGTGTGGTGCAGCAGGCTGGAGTGTGACTGGCAAGTCCGGGCGGGGGTAGCGAGGGTCTTGCTGGCTCAGAGCACTGCACTGAGAGCTGCTCTCTAGATGACATGCTGCTGTGAAAGAACATCCTCCTGCTGCAGCATGAGTGCCTGGGCTCAGGGGAGGATACTGCAGGGTAGGTGGGGGCTGCTGCTCTTGTGTCTCGGGAGGCCGTGGGGTGTAAGCTGGTTACTAATGGGTTTGTTGTTTGGTATCTAGGTGGCAGAGCTCAGACAGTCCTTTCTCTCGGACACTCACTCTTGCTGCTGGCGCCGCTTTACATAACATAAGAATGGCCACGCTGGGTCAGACCAATGGTCCATCTCGTCCAGTAGCCTGCCTTCTGACAGTGGCTGGTGCCAAGTGCTTCAGAGGGACTGTACAGAACAGAGCAATTATCTAGTGATCAATAATCTAGTGTGGTCCAGCCCCAGCTTCTGGCAGGCAGAGGTTTGGAAGTGGGCAGAGATGAGTGTTGTGTGTGTACGCAGTATTGTAGAACAATGATTTCATGCCAGTGTGAGTTTACCTCTCTGTACTTGAATTTCTTTCTTTGCAGAGGGGTGGGTCTAGTGGGTGCTTGGTAGAACTAGGGAAGGGGAAATGGATGCAGGACTGGCTGTGGAGATGGAGTTGGAGTCCCTGCAGTAGTGGAGCTGACTTTCTAAAGCTTCCCAGCCTCTTTTATCCCTTTGCTACTAGACTGACAGACCTGGGAGCGGGTGGGGGGAATGGAGGCTCTGTCAGACAGTCAATTCTTCAGGGCCGGAATCTTGCCTTGTTCTGTAAAGTGCCATGTTCAGTTCTGGCACTCTGTAAACAATGACTGTCGGGGGTGGGATGGGGGAGAATCACTAGAACACTTCTATTACTAAAACTGACAAGTATCTGGTGGCTGATGCCGGTTCTGAATTGGTCAGAAAATATTCACAGACCAAGTCCTAGCCCAGCCCATGAATCTTGTGCGGTGGGGACTTGGAAAGCAAAGAGTTTAAAATGTCAGACCCAATGCAACAGGCATGCTATTGTATTCCTCCCAGGAAGGGGGCATTCAAATGGCTACGTAGATTTGCTGTGGGATCATGTTTCCTCTTCGCCACTTTATTTTAAAAGTTTATTTTAGAGTGTGTAAATGTGTGTGTAAGTGTAACCCAACCCCACTGGAACTACCTGGATGTGATCCCACTGTTGAGAGAAATCTGAGCACACACAGATTTCTTTCTTTCCCAGCTTCTTCAGGTTTTACTTTTTAATCAATGAGAAATAATTGTCTTTATTTAAAAATACCTACTTTCTCTGTTTCACCCCCTTCTCTAATACTTCAAAATGTAAGGACATTTTTGGTGTTGGGGAAAACTCTTTGTTCTTGTGGGATCAACTAACTGGCTAAGAACATGAGAGGTTACCATGGTAACTTATGCTTATTCATTTCCTTTCTGGGGTATTTGAGAAATGTGCCCTTTTGACTTGTGTTAAACTTCCCTTACTCTAGTGCTTCTCTCCTCTCAGCCCTGCCCTGCAATCTGAAGGTAAATGTAAAAACAAGTGATAGGGCTCGTCATTGATTGTTTTGGCATTGCTCTTGATTGTGAGAATGAGATACATATTGGAAGCCAGTGAAACCAATTCGTTTGCCTGTTGCTGTTCTTGCTGATGTTAAATGCATAGTGCGGTTTTGATGAATCCAATAGAAAAACAGTCTATGTTGCTTGAAAGAGAAGTGAGCTTTATGGTTAAACAACAAAACCAATGTGGGGAGAGGACTTTATTAACCATGTGTTAAATTAACAAATTATAAAGCACTGTTTGCAACATAAGCATGTAGCCGACACTGTATGTACAAAATATCATGGCAAAACTAGTGTTAAACTTAATTGCTATGCAGTTGTAGAATGAGCTATTTATGGGGCTAAACCCTGTCATGATCTATAGAATCACAGACCTTCTTATACAGAAGGTATTTAGTAAAGAAAGCAGCTAAAACTAGAGACCCAAACAGGCTTCCACAAAGCTTGAGTTCCCACATTGTTTACCAATCACCACACTTTGGAACTCTGTCCAGCACACAGACACCTAGTGGCTGAATAATATACTACAAATAGACATTGCATTTCAAGCCCTCTCCTTCATGAGTGCAGGAAGCCCTGTCTGCAGTAGAATCCCTGTTGAGGGAGAGGAAGGATTTCAGGAGCTTGTGCAGGGACTGCAGAACCCAGCTCCCAAGGGGCTGTTACCGAGGCTGACCATAGTACCTCAGGGATGAGGCAAGTGTATCCAGTCCTCAGGCTGGAGTAGTGGCTACAGAGACGTTCTGTTCTTGCTCTGTAGACTGTTGAGAGGGTCTCCAGCCCAGGTGTTTGGGCTGGTGTCTGGAAACAAGATTTGCCCCTAAAATTAATTTAAAAAAAATGCCATCCCCCGACTCCTACACTCATATGTGTGCATGGACTTAGTGTTGCTCAGAGTAATATGGACTCAGCTGTGAGTTTGAGCCGCGTACAGAGTAGGACCCTAACCATCCTAAGGAACCATTGGTGCCCATAAAATGTGCTGAGGGAGCCAAGGATACATTTGTTTAACTGATTCCAGAGGAAGCAAGTAATTACTTCAGAGCTACATGTTAACTCTGCAATAATGGGCTCTTCCTCTGAGGAAGGCATTTGCCTATAAAGAATGTATACTTTTGTGGGGTTATTTCTCAGTGGAAATGTTTCACAATGGACTTTTATTAAAATGCTTATATTCAGCTCACTTCCCCCTTACATAAACCCTGTGTCCTAAGACAAGGGAGGGTGAACAGGATGACCACATGGGCAGCTCTCTTCAGTGGAAAAAATGTTGCTAGTGCTGTGGACATTGCACATGTTATGGTGACTTGTTTTCTTCCCATAAAGAAAAGGTGCATCTTCCTGATGGGAGCATATCGTCATTCTTTGTTTCCTCCTATCCATGCAAGTTCAACATGTGTTTTTCTTCTTGCTAAAACTCAGTGTAATGTCCAATTGTATCCATTGTGAATACCTTAGACACCTTTTGAGGGGCTCAACGTACTTCACCTAAGTTATGATGATGACAATTTTTCATTATTTGTATTACAGTAATGCCTAAAGGGCCCAATCAGGGACCCAGGCCCCATTGTGCTAGGCACTGTCCACACATGTAATAACAAGAGGATCCCAGCCCCATAGAGCTTATGCTCTTAGCATATGATAAGACACAAAGAGGCTACAACTAAATGGGGGTAAGGACAAGCTAACAGTGAAATGTTCATACTTAATATAACTAGCAGCAGTTGAAGCACACCACCAGCAGGCTCAGATTCACCTGCTCTGAGTTACAGGACAAGTGTGCTAGACTCTGAGCTGCACTACATGTGCTTACCGATAGAATTCAAGAGTGAAACTGAGTTGCTCACATGAATCAGTTGTTTTTTCATTAGTTCGTTATTTCTCTTGAGCCTGTCAATCAGGACAGTGAGTAATCAGACACCTGCTCTTCAGTAATAATTACTGTAAAAGAATTGGCAAGGCACCACGCTGCGTTCTCTGTGTTTATATCAGGCTTATTAATCAGATCAGTTGAAGCATTTGGTTCCGGCCTAACAACATTCCATGACTTTGCTCCATGCTTCCAGAGTTTCTGTGCTGTCCTGTAATTTGTTGCGAGGCCAGTTCTGCCTTTGGATACATGAGCACAGCTCTCATTAACTCCAGTGGGAGCAGTGCCCAGGTAGCTTAAGTATGTTGGTCTGAGATGTTAGAATGGGCTTCTCCAAAGAAATTGCCCACCTGCCTGCCTGAAAATTCCCTTGTGTGAAGAGAAACATGTTTCAGAGGATCAGTCTGATGACTAGATTAGGGCTAGGCCTCCCCGTAATGTGTTAGAACTTGTAAGAAGGTAGAAAAGCTACAGAAAGGGTTTCTTTCTTGGGGGACTAGGCATGCGCCAAGCTCTGCAAATACATCCCTATCCCTCAGTTCAAAGGCGGCCACCACTATCATGTCCGAGGATTGTTCTTCCCTGCCAACTGTGGGGCCATTGCTGTCTACAGTGCCCTGGCAGCATGACTCCAATGGAGTCATGCTTTCAGGGTTTCTTTCATTTACAGCAGTCCCATCCATGAGGGGACATTCCAATGGGGGGAGGGTGTCTGCCGAAAGTTAACACAGCTTGTGGATGAAGGATGATCTTGTGTTTAAGGCATTCAACTGAGTCTGGGAATCCATTCCTCTGTCTGCCACAGATTTCCTGTGTGACCTTACGCAAGTCACTTAATTTCTTTCAGTTTACTATCTGTAAACAGGGTTAGTTGTACTTACCTAGCTCAAAGGGGTGTTGGGAGATTGATGTTTGTGAGGTGCTCAGCTCACTGTGGGGGACATATAAGTACTTTGATGGAATATTTTGCAGTGGAGTTCCTACTGGGCGCCATGCTTTGGTCAAGGGAGGGAGGTGCCACTGAGGCTTCTGTCTGCCTCTTTCCTTATTCTTAAATCCATACGTGAAGGGTTCTAGGGAAATGATCTCCCCAGTAGCAGTTCTGTGGAAGTGCTTTGGGTTAATTGCCAGTCTAAGGTAGTGTCCTTTCTCTGCTTTCAATCAGAAGTTCTGAGAGAGAGCCTCATGAATGTTTGTGAGGAGAAATGTAGGTGGATATTTTGTGTATTGCAACAAAAACTGTAAAATGTGCATTCCCAACCGCCATCCCCTGGGAATCTGTTTTACTGATCCCACTTGTTTAATATTAAAGATTTTAGTATTAGGAAATGAGTAGTGTGAGAGGTCAAGTTACTTAAACTTAAAATGTCAGAGCAAGTTGGTAGTAGATTGGAAATAGAATCCAGGAGTCCTAAATCTCAGTCCCATGCTCTCACTACAGGACATTCTGCCCTGATTAATTATTATTATTATTATACTACATTCATTCACTGACCTTATTTATACCCTTCCATAGCTGCTAATGGATGAGAAATTTTGAAACTCAATTAAAAGTGTTCACATTAATTGATTTAATTGGTGAGGATATTTTGCACCTGCTGTGACCTTCTTCCCTTGATGAAATTGCAGAAGCTTGGTAACCTTTCTGAGACAAAGCACATAGTTGTATTGGCAGAAAACACTATTTCCAAGGTGCATAATGAACTTGGACCAGGATTAGGGAAGTGAAAGCAAGAGGTAACAACAGACATTGAAAATGGAGTCACACCAAAAACAAAGTGTTTCAAGCTCAGTGCATTCCAACAGTTCATCTGCAGCTGTGCGACGTGACTGCAGTTGGGAAGCTTCAGACTGTAGAAGGCTTTAGAAGGGAGCATTTGACACTGAGGGCAGATTTTACTTTCCAAAACTGAATATTGCATGAAAAATTGAAGGCAAGCAAGAGCAGTGGTATCTCAAGAGTATAATGGAAGTGATCAATTTTAATAGTGAAGATAGCTATTGACTCATCCAGCTGTAATTCATAGTTTGTAGAAGCTTTTAATTTCAAACACAATATTGGGCAAAATAGCATTGACACTTAATTTTGTTTTCACAGATCTCACTGCACTGGAATGTGATCAACCAGCAGTAAGTAACTTTCCCCCTCTAGACAATGCACTTGTTTATTAAATAAATTTTAAAACAGTGTGTGGGGTGGAGGGACAAGGAGGATAGTGCTAATTCAGTTCTTCCAAGATGAACTTTCTAAGAACCTCGCTGTACTTACTTGGGCTTTTTCCCTGCTGAGGACTGCACCCTACCAAAGACTAATACCATTTAAGTCTTCTAATGAGCTTCAATGTATGGGTCTAATCCTCAATTACGCAAAACACTCAAGGCCGCCCCAGAGGTCTGGGGCAAAGCAATTTCAGGGGCCCATTCCATTAAAAAAAAGTTGCAATATTATAGTAACATGTATTTGGAAATGTAAAAAATAGCCAGTGAAAGACATTCAAAAATTAATTTTTAATAATTTGAAAATACATGAAATACATTATTTAAAAACATTAAACCTTAGTGGGGCATTTGGTCACTTCCTGGAGAAAGGAATGTTGAAGTTAAGTACCTAATCAAGAGACACTTAAAGGACAATGAATCTTGGAATGCTCCAATCCACATAAGAAGTCTACTTGAGGACATTCAAGGTGGTATGTAAACAGTGGATGCTACTTGTAAAAACTGTGAGTCATGCATGGACATGTGACTTGCCCAGGTAACTCCTAAACTCCATCTTGGAGCTGGACTGTGCATAGGAGTGAGGAGGGGGTCTCCACCCACAAGAAAAAGTCTATTTAAACCCCTGGGAGACCCCTCCATGGTGGTCTTCTGCTGGCTAAAGAGAGAGCCTTCCTACCCCCCAGGATACTTGAAAAAAACTGGAACAAAGGGCAGTGTGCAAGGGGTGTGAGTGATTGCTGGACCCAGGCTAAAAGGAGATTAGTCTGTAAAAGGGAGAATTCTGGAACTGGTGAGGATCTTATCTGTATTCAGTTTGATTAGACCTAGATTTGTGCATTTTATTTTATTTGGCTTGGTGACTTACTTTGTTCTGTCTGTTCCTATTTGGAATCACTTAAATCCTATTTTCTGTATTTAATAAAATCACTTTTTACTTATTAATTAACTCAGAGTATGTATTAATACCTGGGGGAGCAAACAGCTGTGCATATCTCTCTATCAGTGTTATAGAGGGCAAACAATTTACGAGTTTACCCTGTATAAGCTTTATACAGGGTAAAATGGATTTATTTGGGTTTAGACCCCATTGGGAGTTGGGCATCTGAGGCAGGAACACTTCTGTTAGCTGCTTTCAGGTAAACCTGCAGCTTTGGGGCAAGTAATTCAGACCCTGGGTCTGTGTTGGAGCAGACGGAAGTGTCTGGCTCAGCAAGACAGGGTGCTGGGGTCCTGAGCTGGCAGGGAAAGCAGGGCTAGAAGTAATGTCTGGGCATATCAGGTGGGTGGCAGCTCTCAGGGGGTTTGTGTGATCCAAACCATCACAGGTAGTTAATTGAAAAATTATGTACCCCATGTGTTGCCCCCAGCCCCTTACCATGCCACTTACCCCCGCCCCTCCCCTCTCTCGGAGCCTCAGCACGCCGCATCCAGGAGCTGCCCTCAACAGCGCTGCAGTGGCATGACTCCAGCGGGACCTGAGCTCTTGCTGCTTGGCCGGAGTTTGCAGCCCTGCACCCTTGCCACGCGGCTCTGAGCAACAGGAGCTCAGGTCCCGCCGGAACCACGCCGCTGCAGCGCTGTCCAGGGCCGTTCCTGGACGCGGCGCGCTGAGGTGCAGGGGGGATGGGGGAAGGCGGGAGCGGGGCCTGGGGCAAATTGCCCCACTTGGCCTCCCTCCCTCCCCCCTCCCCCCCGCCTCCCCCCTGGCAGCCCTGAAAACACCTATTGGAAACAATGGGAATTCAGCACAAGTCAGAACTGCTGGATTCATCTGTGGATTCTTAGCAGGGAGATGTGTGTTAATAATTCCTAGGAGGGAATGTGTTACGAGGGGAGCTGGTAATTACAGTAGTCAGAAAACTGGCAAAACTTCACTAAAAAGTGAATGTAAAAAAAACAACCCTAAACTGAGTCCATCTTAATCCAGTGTCTGAACAGAAACCTATGTGAAGCATCAAGGCTTGATTCTCCATTGCTTTGCACCTTGTCTAGTCACTCAAAGTGGGTGTAAAATACTACCCAAATCAGAAGAGCAACATTTTAGACTCAATCCTTCAAATGAAAATGGCCCGATAAAGTGCAGGGCAACAAAGAGTCAGGCCTTCAGTTTCTTACTAGGAACTGGCAAAGAACCATTATAGAGAATTAACCTATTTTAAGGGTTAGAAAGCACATTCTTAAATCAATGTGCTGCTGTGCTTTGAGCATTCAGCTCATTAGCTGTAATGGGAATTGTGCAGAACTCAGCATATACCCCAGGAATGGTAATGCCTTCTCTTTGCCATTATCTTCACTATGGTAGTTTCTTCCTCTTTTTAATCATAATGATGTAATATTCACATTACAGTAGCACCCAAAGGCCCCAACCATGACCCCATGGTGTTAGGTGCTATATGAAGAGAGAGGTAGCCATGGTGCCTGCTTGGAGCAGTTTACTGCCTGCTATTGTGTTGGCCATCCAATGTGAATTTCTTTGGTTTTACAGCATTTGACATTAGGCCAACTCTTTAAGGGTCAGCAAACTACTAAAGTATCAAGAAATAGTGAGACAGAGGGAATAACACAGTGCCAGCTGTGTTGTAAATTATCTATTGGACAGGCTGCCAGACCCTCCTTTCCACTTGGACAAAAAGTGGACTTAGTTATGCACAGTCACAAGTGCAGCATAAAGCAAGATCTGGCTGCTTTTCACATACGTTTTCTAATGCACGGAGTGCCTAATGCTTGCACAGGGCTCCCAGGATCAGGCCAATCATCCTGTGTCATGAGTCCAATTGCTACAAATGGTTATTTCTAACATGGTCTGTTGGCCAGAGGTGGTGAACTCCAGGCTTCTGAGTTTGCAACTTCTACCTAGTGTGGAACAAGTCATCCCAAACATTTTACACAGCAGTATAATATATTGTACCAGTTCCACCATGTAAAGCTGGAAGATCACTGTCCCTGTTTTTATGTAATTCTGTCCTCTGCCCAAACCTTTCCATAATGTCGTGCACTAAATAATCCCAGGGGTTTTGCTGTGTCTGCTGCAGAAGCCATTGTAGGACCCTGCACGTCACTCCCCCAGATGCTAATATTCAATGCTTTTCTTGTGTTTTCTGGTTAGAAGCTGCCCCTTTTAAAATTCCCCTAGAGGGGGTTAATAATCTCTGCAGCTTCTCCCTCATGATGTTGGCTGGCAAGTTAATCAGTGACAAGATCTTAAACTCCCACATAATGTAGGATCCATGCCTGGTTTTTTAAATTAGAATTATAGGTGTATTATTCACTATCTGGAGGAGTTGCCTTGAGGAAGGGGAGTAATCTGGAGTCTCACACAGCATGGATCTCAATTGTTGCTTAAAGTGAAGACTAGATTCATTGGCGAGCGTGCCATCTCCTGGTGACTTGCTCTTATTAACACTTTTTAGGGTGCTGTTTATTTCAGCATCAGTTTATTGGCCTCTTCCAGACCCGAGGGAAAACTCCGTGTGGCTCGAAAGCTGGTCCCTTCCACCAGCAGAAGTTGGGCCCATAAAAGATATTATCTCATCCACCTTTTCTCTCTCATTGGCTTTTTAAGCATTTCTCTGTAAATCACCTTCAATATAATTAAATTTAGACTCATTAAATAATCCATGAGACCCTGCATGCTGCTATTTGATTTAGATCTAGTTTGTTCCTGGAAGATTTTAAATTGTGGTGTGATTTCTGTAAATTACCAAAGCTAAAATTTTCAAACATAAGTGAGTGCCTGAAATTAGGCACCTAAATCATATTTAAGTAGTCTTATTTTCAGAGGTGCTGATCATCCGCAGCTCCAGCTGGCTTCAGTCAGAGAAGCAATTGCTTAGAATCTCTGAGAATCAAGCCATTATTTAGTTGCTTAAATATATGGATGTTGGTGTTTTGGTTGCAATCCTGCAAGCAGATTTGCCAATGCAGATCCTTAGGCTGTGTAAAGAGCTCAGCTCTCATTTAAACACCAAATAAAGGCAGTGAGATTTCCAGACTGCTCTGCATTCAGAACTCCCATTGTTTTCAGCTGGGGATGTGGGTAGGAGATTATCCATTGTTCTCAATGGGAGCTCCTCAATTCTTGTGAAGATCTGGCCACTAGGGGCTAATTTCAGTACCACTAATTTCTCTCCAGAAAGAGAGGTGCACTTAAAGGGTTAACACAGCCAGTAGGAAGTGTCTAGAGGAAGGAAAGGTAAAAATTGAATTTGTTTTTCCCTACTGATTCTGATTTACTTTGTTTACATTTAGCTATTGAATATAAGTGAATTTTTCACTTTAGTTTGGAGTCTTTTTCCCTGCCAGGTCCCTGTGCATTAGCCCAGTCTGCAGATACCTCAAAGGAACATTGATTTGTTTGTGTGTAAAAAAAAAAAAACCAACTGTTTCCACTAGAAATTTTGGAGACGTTCCTGGAGCCATTTCTGTTGGCTTCAGGGTCTGGAGAAGCTTGTTTTAGGGCAGACCTGGCCTTTTGCATTTGTCTTCTAGGTGGCCAGGAGCATGGTGTGCCCCTGCACAGGTGCTCTGGGGAACAGGGCACAGGAAGCATGTGCGGTGGTGTCAGCTGCAGTCATGTTCTTGGCAAGTTCTAGTCACTCCAAGATGGATGTGGCAAAGTTAATGGTCTTGCCACCATCTCTGCACCAGCCAGCAAAGTTGGCAAACCCTGGTGTGTTCCCACAAGGGTATAGCAGCAGCTGCCCTGTCCCTGCACATCAGGAAGATACAGGGATATTTTCAATTTTTTCCTTATACCCTGACATCTTAGTTTTTTATTGATGTAAAGATATTTTTCTAATGGTACCATTTTATTTTTTAAAATTTATTTTTCTTCTTCGTAACAAAAATCTTTAGTCTCCAAGTCAATGAGCAGGAGCTGGACACAAAGTCCTACTCCATCCTATTACCCCCCACAATAGTAGATCTGGAACTGATAGTTCCCTTTCAGATGTCCGCCATCTGTACCAAAGAGATATTATAATTATAGTGTATAATACCCAGCTATGACATAGCACTTTTCATGTGTAGATCTCAAAGCACATTACAAAGAAGGTTACTACCATTTTACAGATGGTAAACTGAGGCACAGAGAGGGGACGCGATAGGCCCATGGTCACTGAGCAGGTCAGTGACAGAACTGGGAATAGAATCCTGGTTTCTCAAATCACCATCAGTTGCTCTATTCGCTACACCGCATTGCCTCCTTTATCATTGCACTAGTAGAACTGGTTGAAATTTTTTGAACAAGAAGATTTTTCACTGAAGAATGTGGGGTCTTATTTATTTAAACAAAATGTTGTGGAAAACTTGACTTTTTTGAGGTGTAATTTTTTTTGTAATTTTAGTGAAAAATATTGATTAAAAGTTGTGAATATTTTTATAAAAAAAAAGGGGGGGAGCCTCGCTGGAAACTTGTAAAATGGGAAAAATCTGAAATTTCAGTTTTTTTGGAGAATTCTTTTTTTAAATTCAACCAGTTCTAGGTAGAAGGTGTTTTTCCCCCAGATTTTAATGAGCCTCCACAAGGCTGATTTACTGTCTAGTGCAATATTTCCCAAACTTGGGACGCTGCTTTTGTAGGGAAAGCCCCTGGTGGGCCGGGCCGGTTTGTTTACCTGCCCCGTCTGCAGGTTCCGCCGATCGCGGCTCCCACTGGCTGCGGTTCGCTGCTCCAGGCCAATGGGAGCTGCTGGAAGTGGCGCGGGTCGAGGGATGTACTGGCCGCTGCTTCTAGCAGCTCCCATTGGTCTGGAGCAGCGAACCGCGGCCAGTGGGAGCCATGATCGGCGGAACCTGCGAACGGGGCAGGTAAACAAACCGGCCTGGCCTGCCAGGGGCTTTCCCTACACAAGCAGAGTCCCAAGTTTGGGAAACACTGGTCTAGTGCATTATAGGTTTTTAACTATTTTTATGAAAGGTTAAGTACTTAAGAAGAAATCTTGGAGCTGGTTTAAGACTATCTTTTTGGAAATGCCACTCATCTTTCTGCGGTAATATAAACCAGAATTCTTTGAAGCTGGTATATGAAAAGGGAGAGAAAACTGCCTTGATCAGTCTTCTAACCATTTGCCTACTTACAGCTATAATCAGGCTAGCACATACTATAGTTACCCCAGTTTTATGTTACTCATAAGAGGTTGAAATGGGCAAACCATATTTCACAGCTTTAAAAAGGCATACAATGTGACCGCTCAGAGCTGAGAGTTAGGATTTCGAGCGGCCGGAAGCTGAGGCACATGACTTTTAGCATTCAGTCAGGAAATCCTAACTTGCTGGCGCTTGAGAGTGCAGGATTTTCTGCAGAGTGCTCTGTGCATCTTTGGTTACAGCAGTTCCCTTGATGGCTCTCCATCATTCTTGTCTCTGGATTGATTGGAAAGCGCACATCAAGAAAGTAGTTCATTTGAAGGACTGCAGAGATTTCCTTCTTCACTTGATCCTTTCATGAAATTTTTACTTGGATATAGTTGTGGTTGACTTTAGCTGTGTAATCTGAGAGAGGCAAGTTTATGGCTGTCATCTGTAAAACCACACACGTCCCTGCCAGGGCTGTCTGAAAATGTCTAGTAGTGGGGAGACTGATTTATTCACTGTGTTCTTTGTTCCTTTACCCCTCTTCAATCAAGCTACTGTCTCTCATGCATTTAATAAAAATAGGAGCTGGCAGGGGTGGGAGGGCACAGCAGCCTGGTTTAACAAAGTTGCTGAAGCTCACAAATCCAGTCCTCCAGAGTGTAGGTTTGAGGCCACCATCTTTCATACCTATCTTCAATGACTCACTCCTTTATTTATATAGAATTAGAGTTCATTCTTGATGGGCCTGATACAATGATGTCAACAGAAAGACTCTCACTGACTACAGTGGGCTTTGGATCAGGCCCCAAAAGAGCATTGTGAAATCTGAATCCACCAATCTCCCTCAATCTGAAAAGTGGGTTCTCCTTTTCTTGTACTGATCGTCCATACAGAACCTATCCAGGCCATACAGGAGGAAATATTGGTCCCCCTGAAGTCAATGGAAACTTTGCTCATAGAGTTTTTACGTCAACGCATAGTCTCATTCCAGTCACCTTTCTGCCTCTTAAATTGCCTTTGCTGCTGGTGGTCTTTGTCCATTTTGGTGTTATCCAGTGTGATTGGATGGGAGAGGAAATGTTCTGACAATTATGCAGGTTTTATAATCTGAGAGACCAGAATCTGTATGTGCAGCTCCCATTGATTTCCAGAGAGATGCCCAACTTTGTGCAGAACTGGGAAACTTTTTTATGACTCAGTTTCTCCTCTCCTCTTGCATGGTTACCTGCTGGGTGTGAAGGGTTTTTTTTTTTTCTTGAAATAAGACAAGCCATGCAGTCTCTGGGAGGAAATCACAAGGAGTCCTCATTTTTTTTTTCCCGATACAGACTAACACGGCTACCACTGAAACCTGTCCATGAATGAACCATCAAGAATTAAAATCACTGGGTGAAGGTAATTAATGCAAATCCTTAGACATGGAAACATGTCCCCAGAAGTACCACCCCCAGAGGAAATCCCATATCTTGGGTTTGCCCAGGTTCAAGAGGCCCAGCAAACAAAGAACTGAGAATTGTATAAAGTGATAAACCTGGTAAGGGGTCATTCTCACCTGATCCAAGAACTGAAATGACAACATGGCCAAGAGGGTTGAGATCCTGCTGAAGGGGTTTGAAGGACTTTGAAACTCACGAGGAACTCCATGTGGAAAGTGGGTGACACCTGGTAAAACAGGATGCACGTAAGCTGTTCATTGTTTTCAAGATGTGTTTTTTCAGTAATGCTGATGTTCTGAATAAATATTTTTGCTTTATGAAGGCTGGCTGGTCACTGGCTAACCTTGTCGTCGTCCATGGGAGCGAACATGGTGGCCGATACTAAACTGAAGTCAGACTTGCTAAGGTGATCGCAGTGAGTTGCAGAAGGAAATAGCAGCTTTAAATCCCTGATCTGGAGGAATAGGAATGCAGGATTGGACCCCAAGAAAGGTGATGGCTAGAGGCCTGAGGCCTGAATGGGGTGCCCTCAAGGAGATCATGAAGGGATCGGAGCTGCAGTTACCTCAGGAGCTGTGACATGTTAACGGAGAGCAGGATGTAGCCCTCAGATGATCACTGCTCAAATCTGAAGGAGCCAGAAGCAGAGGATGTGATGATGCCTCTTTAATTTAATTTTAAATGTTATTAATGTAAATATATGTATTAAATTTATTCCAACAGCATGAAATGTATGGTAAGCTCCATGTTCTCCCAGTGCACAAATAACTCTCGGGACCACATTCTATTATCCTTTCCAACAGGTTTTAGTCTGAGAATGATTCCTCCTGGCCTTGCATTGACACCAAAATACTTAGGGGTTGTGCTAGGATAGACTAAAACAAACAAAAAAAGAAAGTCTTTTCCTGCCACCGCCCTGACCACATGGGATTCTGTGCTATCCTGTTCAATGAAAGGATAAAGGCATTAGACTCCTTTAATTTCAGAAAACCTGACCCGAAGTAGTACCTTCCGCCATTTTAAACTCCCTCTAGACTCGGATTCACTCCTGTATTTTGATTATAGTTAATCTGATTCATTTTCTTCTGAAATATATACATTAGGCTCATTTTATATTGTATCAAAACTGCCTGGATCTTCATTTACTGAGCTGGAGCAAACAAAAGGAAAATAAAGGTTGTTTCCAATCACAGATTGTGAATGGGCTAGAGAGCACTAGTCACCGTAGCTCATATTGTCTGAAATCGGTCCCTGTCAATCTCCTCCTGAGGAAACCCACATCAGCTCTGTCACTGTGGCTTTCTTGCCTCCAGATAAATAGCAACAGGGTATTTAAATAGGAGAATTGAACAGGAAATGTCCATATCTGCCCATAATTCTCTGAGTGCCACACTGCCAAGGGAGTGAACATTCCCCAAGCTGTATTTTTGAGTTAGCAAAAAGCTGCCTATCATCTTAGCCAGTAAGGGAACGTTGTCTGGCTATAGATCTTGTGAGCCATGAAACTCTATCTTGTCTGTCGATCTCTTTGAATACTGTTTCTTAAGGAAAGAGTCTCAAGCTGCTGGGGCTGTCTGTGAGAGCTTGTCGGAAGCTTGTTTTCAAAGGCAGCCTTTGGCTAATTTTTGAATCTTCATTCCTGATGAAATTTTTGAATCTTCATTCCAGCAGCCTAAGGTGCAGCCTCCTCATTAGCTCCCTCAGGTAAGATAATCGGGGGATGCTGAGGTTCCACTTCATTCTCTTGTTGTCTGGTATGATCTCATTGTCTTATGAAATCAGACCCTTTTGCATCCTAGCATAGGTCTGCATTTTCTGGACCTCTTCGATCATTGTTAGTTTCCTTTTCTGTGTTGGCCAATTATGGATAAGAAACTGGAAACTACAAAAGAGAAGCCTGTGTGAATGCATTTAATATTCTAGCAACGAGGGGTAGTTGTTTTTTTCTTTCTTCCAGTCATTGTGGTTTTACTTTCCTGGAAAGTAGACATAAGCCACAGCCAAACTCCTTTAAGTTCAGGCATGTTTAGATCTGAGCCTGACCACAATGAATAAATGGATTGGTCAGTGGCTGTTATGAAAATGCTTTGTGTTTGGTCTTGGACCTTTTCCAAGTGGTGGGTCCAAAAATCAAGTTAACCAGGATTCAGAAGGGTGGGGATGTGTCAAAAATCAAAATTCCAGGTTGACAATGACATGCATGCTCTTCATGTTTCTTCTTTCTTTATTGGAAAGTGCTGAAAACCTGGCATTTTGGAATGAATTTTACAGTAAAAAGGATGCAAGAAGTGTTGGTAAAATCACCTGTTTTGCAATCGTTGTTGTAGCGTATTGATTACACAAGGCCCTGTCCAGAAGTGCTTAGGCAATTCTTACTCAAGCTAACCTCTTCTATTGACTTCAGTGGTAGCTTTGTACCCATGGGGGTTCTGAAAGGTATTGTGTTTAAGTTCAGAGCCATAGTTCCGTTAGAGCTGAGAATTCATTGACTATCCTGTAGCTAAGAGGGTCTTTAAGAGTACATATATGCTACAGCTGGGTATGAGCCAGGGGCGGCTCCAGGCACCAGCACACCAAGCGCGTGCCTGGGGTGGCAAGCCGCAGGGGGCAGCCTGCCGGTCGCCGTGAGGGTGGCAGTCAGGGAGCCTTCGACGGCGTGCCTGCGGGAGGTCCGCCGGTCCCGCAGTTTCAGCAGCAATTCGGCGGCGGGTATGCCGAAGGCGCAGGACCGGCAGACTTCCCGCAGGCATGCCACCGAATCCGTGTTACCAGCAGACCTCCCGCAGGCATGCCACCGAAAGCCACCTGACTGCCGTGCTTGGGGCGGCAAAATACATAGAGCCACCCCTGGTATGAGCCTCCCAGCCCAGGCAGACAGACACGCACTAGCTGTACTCTAACTAGTTCGCTAACAATAGCAATGTGGCAGGGGCTAGCTGCCTGAGTACAAGTCTGCCCAGCCCACTGGCTCCATGTTCAGGTGGCAAGCCCGTGCAGCTGTGGCACTGCTATTTTTAGTGTGCTAGTTCGAGTATAGCTAGCGCATGTCTGCCTAGCTGGGCTGGGTCCCAGCTACAGTGTGTTCATACCCGAAGAACCCACTTTTTTACCTGACTAAAATCACTTGCCGATTTCCACATTAGCGCCTTATTTTGGATTGGTATAACCCGGCATGTATTGTTGCATCCTTTGAGATATCAGTAGCTGATTTTCTTCTCCACCGAATGCTGGGAGAATGATAGGAGCCATGAACACCAGATCAGAAGTGGAGCTAGAGTTTTTGCAAACTTGTTCATTCACATATGGTTTTTTTTTCCTTCATTTGCTCTCCGATGTATTAAGTACATTGTATAGCCCCTCTGGTGTGAATATATAAAAGCACCAAACACTTGTAGGCCACTTAAGAGAAGCACTGTGCTTTTAGGGCCTAATCCAATGCCTCGGAGGCAATGAGCATCCCCAACCCCTCATTGACTTCAGTGGGAGCGGAGGGCTCTCAGCACCATACAGGGTCGGGCTCGTGCTATACATTCCATGTAAAAATGAAATGCTAATAACTTTGCAGTTAATTGCCTTTCATCTGAAGATCTCAAAGCACATCACAGGCATTAATGTGGCAAACCTCACAATGACCCTGTAGTGGGGGTAAGTGATATTATCCCCTGTTGTACAGATGTAGAAATTAAGGTTCCAAGAGCTTAAATAACTTTTCCAAGGTCACTGGCTCTGTGGATATGGGGAAAGCAGTGGATGTGATAGATCTTGACTTTAGCAAAGTTTTTGATAAAGTCTCCCACAGTATTCTTGCCAGCAAGTTAAAAAAAAGTATGGATTGGATGAATGGACTATAAGGTGGATAGAAAGCTGGCTAGATTGTCGGGCTCAATGGGTAGTGATGTCTAACGGCTCGATGTCTAGTTAGCAGCCAGTATCAAGCAGAGTGCCCCAGGGTCGGTCCTGGGGCCGGTTTTGTTCAACATCTTTATTAATGATCTATGTGATGGGATTAAATGCACTTTCAGCAAGTTCACAGATGACATTGAGCTGGGGGGAAAGGTAGATATGCTAGAGGGTAGGGATAGGGTCCAGAGTGACCTAGACAAATTGGAGGATTGGGCCAAAAGAAATCTGATGAGGTTCAACATGGACAAGTGCAGAGTTCTGCACTTAGGAAGGAAGAAAAACATGCACCACTACAGGCTGGGGACCGACTGGCTAAGCAGCAGTTCTGCAGAAAAGGACTTGGGGATTACAGTGGACAAGAAGCTGGATATGAGTCAGAAATGTGCCCTTGTTGCCAAGAAGGCCAATGGCATATTAGTAGGAGCATTGCCAGCAGATTGAGGGAAGTGATTATTCCCCTCTATTCAGCGCTGGTGAGGCCTCACCTGGAGTATTGCATCCAGTTTTGGTCCCCCCACTACAGAAGGGATGTGGACAGAGTCCAGCGGAGGGCAACAAAAATGATTAGGGGGCTGGGGCACATGACTTACGAGGAGAGGCTGAGGGAACTGGGGTTATTTAGTCTGCAGAAGAGAAGAGTGAGGGGGGATTTGATAGCAGCCTTCAACTACCTGAAGGGGGTTCCAAAGAGGATGAAGCTAGGCTGTTCTCAGTGGTGGTAGATGACAGAACAAGAAGCAATGGTCTCAAGTTGCAGTGAGGGAGATCTAGGTTGGATATTAGGAAACACTATTTCACTAGGAGGGTGGTGACACACTGGAATAGGTTACCTAGGGAGGTGGTGGAATCTCCATCCTTAGAGGTTTTTAAGGCCCAGCTTGACAGAGCCTTGGCTGGGATGATTTAGTTGGTGTTGGTCCTGCTTTGAGCAGGGGATTGGACTAGATGACCTCCTGAGGTCTCTTCCAACCCTAATATTCTATGATTCTATGTCACACAGGAAGTTGGTGGAAGAGCTGGGAATAGAACTGAGGTTTCCTGATTCTCTTTGTGATTTCCTTTGCCCCCTGTTGGAAAGTGGATTTCTCTTTTCTTTGCTCCGATTGCATTTGTACACTAGTTTGTTGTTGTAGGGTTGCTACTGAATTGTTGTTAGGATTGATTTTCTTTTATATAAAAGAAATGAAGCATTTGTTGTGAAAATAAAACCCAAAGGTAAAGAATTACACAAACGTGCTTGCAATTGCTATAGCTTGCATATACATTTCTAAAGTACATTAATGGCCTGGTTGTATATTGTACGGTGTTTCCCAGACAGTTCCTCTGGCGTGTGAATGGTCTATTCACATGATATTCCTTGAGTGGATTTACTGTTCTCATGGGATTGAACTGCTACTTTTCTAATCTCTTACAGAAATCTTCCTTGGTATGTTCAGCTCTAAGTCTTTTCTCTGCATAAGAAATTAAACTTGTCTGCTGAAAAACCTTGTAAAACTTGAATGGGTTAAAATTCCAGCTACTTCAGAATCCACGTCTGGGTAAGAGATAAAAGCACATCATGCTCAACAGCCTCGCGGCATTATCCTCATGCTGATGCTGACCCCGCTGAAGTCAATGGAAAGACTCTCACTGACTTCACTGGAAGTTTGATGAAGACCTAATGCCTATATATTTTTTTAATTTTAATAATTCCCCTGCCTCTCTCCCTCCACAAATGCTAGCTTGTAAAATTTCACTTTAAAATACTCTTACATTATTGAATGCAACACAAAAAACATCTCCTCCCTGAATATATTTTTACATCGATGGGATTTTTTCTCAGCCACGCCAGGATGTCATAGTGATCTGAACAGAGGTGGAAAAGCTGTTTGTGTTTGCAGAGGTATTGCAGTGAGCTTGATGTGACTCACCACGAGGAAACTAGTTCTCTGTTCACACCTATGAAACCACTGCTCTCTGTTCACACCTATGAAAACTAAAGGCTTGCCAAAAAACTAGTATATCAGCTCCTTCGCTCCTGAGTGTACATGCTGTACTGCAGAAAGGGGAGGAGACAGCAATTACTTGTAATTGGATTATTACTGCACTGATCTCTTCTTCTTTACTTTCTTCCCCCCCCCAATTTAGGGGCTTTCTGGGACATAGGAGCGGAACAGGTTTTTTCCAACGCTAAGCAAGAGGAATGCTTCTGTGCTCCTTTTTCAGTGCTACTCATGTACTCAGTATGTTGAAACTGAACATGATCATGCCACTTTCCCTTTGGTGCTCTTGCTAGCACCCTGGGGAAAACAGCATATTTAGAAGTAGCAGCACATTGGTGATCCTGGGGAGAGCAAGTGGGGACTAAGGAGGGAGAAAGATGCACACACAGACAAACGCACACAATGGGAGTGAAGAGAGAGAGAGACACAATGGGAATGGAGGGAGATGGGGACACACACAGAGTGGGGATGGGATGGGGTGGAAACTCACAAACGGGACAGTGGAATGGAATGACTGCTTAGTCAGGGAGGTATCCAAAGTAGTGGCTGATGATTCAGGTGTTTGTGTTGGTAAAAGGGTCAATAAACACAAGGCCCTGAATATATTTTATGCTCTGATCAGTTACAGTGCGGTTTCTTTATTTGTCTCCTGGCTTGTATCATCATCTTCATCCTTCATCATCATCTATATAGTAGGTTGATCATAAAACAACCACAATAATGGTTTTCTTTTACATATGAGCACAGTAGTGACCCGATAGCCTAGGATACCCCCTCCAAGCTGCTTGGCTCAGCTGCATCCTGCCTAAGAGCATGGGTATCATTTGCACTAATGTTACTTACTGAAAGCCTAACCCTGAAGTTCCTTCTTAGTGCTATTCAGTCCTCCTCACTCAGGCAAACACCCCATTCATCTCAAACACAGAGGAAGCCAGCTGACTTTGCTTCCCCATTCGCTGGCAAATGAGGTTCCACATACAGTTAATCAAATATTCCCTTCCCTTTGGGCTGACAAAGGTGCCTTAGAAAAAAATGTTATTCAGAATTCATTTACAGTGTTTTATCTGAAGCCTTAAACACTTACATTGCTTGAAGTGCTATAATTGGTTTCTGTTCTCCTCATCTAATTCCTGTAACTGTCGCCAGGGTAGTTCTCCCCACCCCTCCCAGCATTTCACTGCAATTATTGTCAAGTAGCCAGGGCTGTAAAACAAACAGATTTTTGTATAAACCTTCCCCAGATTTTATCTATATCTAATCTACAATTCTGTATTTTATATTGGGATTATCACCATGGTCAAAACTTAGATTAATTAAAATAAGACTGATTCTCTCTCTCTCTCTCTGTTTATAAAATATATATTTTAAAGGCAATACAAAAGTGGTCCTTTATAATGAGACACATAAGGCCACAAGGTTCAGATATGGAACCTTCCAAACTTTGAGGTTGTTCAGACCTGGTGTTTTGGTTCAGTCCATTATGGTTCAGTCCATAACATTTGGACTAAAATACAAACTTTAATGAACAAGGCTGCTGTCTGCACTGTTGGATCAAAGTTTGGATAACAATCCCTTCAAAACCAGAAGGTTTTATTAATGTCTGCGTTTGGAAACACCGTCGTTGAACAACAATAGCTGTCATTTTGTGCACCCTACTTATTTGGAAAGAGGAAATGCAAAGAGAGCTGTAGTTCCTAAACATATGTAGTCAGATGCATCACCAGAAATTATAACCCTTGACCTAAAGACATGCAGAAGTAAAGAAAGTTCAATCTGAAGAATGGAGGTTAACTTGCTCTGTGTAAATTGCTTCTGAATTGGCAACATGATGAACAACCCAGGAACAGTATTGTTTAGGGCTCCTAGAGAAAAGCTGGAAGGAGTAAAGTTTTCAGCATTCTTTTTGTAGTTGGGTAGAAACTATATTAAACTGTAAAGGCAAAACAATGGTTATGATCTGCTTCATGCATGAATAACAAAAATGTACCAGCCTATCCAAATACAGCATAGCAATAGTAATGCACCAAAAAGGAGGGGGGGAAACCTGATACTGGGATTGCTTTGGAATAAATGTAATAAACAGGGCACTGTAATATTTCTATTAGAACTGAAGGGCAGCCTGCTCTCTATGCTGTGTAAAATGACACAATGGGAAAATTAGATTTAAGGCATCTCCCTAAACTCTTATCTTTCCTTAGATTGATTCACATCTGCACTAATTGTTATCTGTGCAGTTCACATTTGTTTTTCTTTTGTTAGCCTGTTTCCCTTTCTTGTTTTAAAGAATAGTTTATCTGCACACCCTGGAAGGGTGTTACTCATAAAGATCACAAGCTTTTAGATCAAGCAAAACATTGGCACGTTGACTAAAAAAACAAAGCATGCTGAGGCTTTAAAACACAAGTGCCGCATTGCATTTGCAATGAGGCAGTAACTGTGTCTCTTGTTGTCCGTTGCCAGGGTTCTGCTAGATCTCAGAGTTTGCATTTCCATGGTCAACTGGCAAGTATATTTTTAAAGTAATCTATGCATTTGAGAATAACTGCGCTAGTATTTCAGTGTTCTTAATCCCCACTGTATTTCACGATGGACGACAAAAATGTTAGGGCTTGGGTTTTTTGTTTTTGAGGGGGAATGTCAGATGGTTTCTATTTGTATTAGTTGGTGGTTAAAGGACTGGGAGTAAGGGAATGAGATTTATTCCCAGCTCTGTCACTGTTCCTCTGTATGACCTTGGGCAAATCCCTTAACCTCTCTGTGCTTCACCTTTTATCTGTAAAATATAGATACAGCTACAAGTCTTTACTTCACAGGGATGTGTGAGGCATGTAAAGCATGCTGAGATCTTCAGATGGGAAGCAAAAGAGAAATCCGAAGTATAATTGTTTAGGATTATTCAGTGTATACAGAAGCACTCATCTGTCTTTATTTTTATTCTCAAGGTGATTTTACAATGGATGGAAGAGCAGACTCGTTAGTGATGACTGTGCATCTTCTTGCCACCTCTGGGCATTCATTACTCCTGCAGCAAACTCTTGATCGGCTTCTGGGGTGGATCTGTCTGGATGTTCGCCTCTTCCTTGTATCCGAACGTGTTACTCCAGTGAAGTATTATGAGAAATATCACCGGAAAAGCTCTGGATTTCCTGGGATGTCCATTCTCCTTTTCCTGCATGAGGACTTTGGGGAAGAACGGATTTTTCGGGTCCATGATTTTTTCCAGCACCCTCCATGGCAGGATCACCACATGCAACATGCTAATGGGAAACAGTACCCTTATGCACCTGCTGGCCAGGAATTTTATGGTCTGGATGAGCATATGCCTGTATGGGGTGTACGGCAAGTTCATTATGGCACTGAAATTCTGCGCGTGACTCTCTACTGTAGCTTTGATAACTATGATGATGCAGTCAGACTTTACGAGATGATCCTACAAAAAGAAGCAACTATGCAGAAGAGTAACTTCTGTGTCTTTGTGCTGTATGCAACACAAACCGTTGCTGTTCAGCTCTGCTTGAAGCAGCTGCCCCCGGGGGTCTCTGTTGAACTGAAAGAATCTTCCGTGTTGCAATTCAAGGTCCATGAAATTGGGCAGCTGGTACCTCTTCTGCCTAATCCATGTATTCCTATCAGTAGCACCCGATGGCAAACTCAGGACTACGAAGGAAACAAAATCTTGCTTCAGGTATTGGGTTTTTTATGTGTGCTGTCTTTAATTCAGTAGGTGACTTGCCAGCTAGGAAGAACACAGGGTCTGATTGGAAGATAGTTATTTATTATTATTTATTTCTTCCTTCGAATTTATAAAATATTTATAGCTGTCTATCCCATACTCTGGGTGATTTCTCCATTAATAAAACCACCCAAAGTAACATAAAAAGATTGCCAGATATTTTTGTAATATCTCCCCCTGGGCTGATATGACATTGTGCAGTTAGACTTGATAAATTATAACCTGAAATGCAAGTACGGTACTTTGCAGGCTGGTCTGTAGACAGAGTTTCACCCTCAGATGAAATTACTGTAAGTGCCTGAATTATTTCTTTATGATAAGGGTTTAGAGTGGAAATGCTTTCAGAAGCTGGTTTCTAGCTGTGCTGTTGGGTGCCACCCAAGGAAGGGTATGTTTGGGTGTATGGTATCTGTCAATTTTTGTGAAAGTTTAATAGTTAAACTGAGCTGCCTAGGCTGTACTGTACTGCCTAGGTTGGAGTGAATAAATCATAGTGAATAAAGGCTTGTTTCCATGGGTGGGATTTTTCATGTTAACTTTTGTTTTTTGGCTTAAACTGACTTGTGTTCACATGGCACAATTCTTTTTAGAATAATCTTGTGTCCTTTTGCAAATTAGGTAATCCATTTTGAAAGTGGATTTAGTCCATTTCAGGATGAATTATTCTGGAAAATGGTTCAAGTGGACCTGTCTGTATTTTGGATGAACTTTTCCACCTCTGGCAGTCCTCCTGCTGTCCCATGCTCAGGGCCAGCTCCAGCGCAGGAAGCAGGTGCTTGGGGTGGCCAATGGAAAGGGGTGGCACGTCCGGCTCTTCGGCGGCAATTCGGCAGCGGGTCCCTTAGTCCCTCTCGGAGGGAAGGACCGGCTGCCGAACTACTGCCGAAGAATGAAGCGGCGCGGTAGAGCTGCCGCCGAAGTGCTGCCGATCGCGGCTTTATCTTTCTTTTTTTTTTCTGCCGTTTGGGGCGGCAAAAAAGCTGGAGCCAGCCCTGCCCACACTGCGTTGCTTTACATCTGATTTGACCTGTCTGTCTACTTATGTGCACTTTACTGGTCTGGAAGTTGGGAATTTGCATTCACCTCCCCCTCAATATTTCCCAGGAAATCCACTTCAAACATATTATCCCAAAAGGCCATTCTTGTTTGGCACATTGTTCAATATAGTTCTGTGATCATTCAGGCCTTACATTACATCTCCTCCCTAGAGGTTACATACGATCCCAGCCCACAATAACACAAACTTTGCATTTAGTACAATGGACCCTAAGGACCCTTAATTCAGTAAGGTTTCTTCAAGGCTATGGCAGGCTATCATGCATATCAGATATTGTGCATATCTGTCACAGGTAGCATCCCCATTGTACGGTTGGGGAAATGGAGGCAGAAAGATTAAAAGCTTGATGCGTCTGAGGGCCTTGTCACAAGCTGGAGATAAGCATTATACACCTAGCAGGAAGCATCCAGCACTTGGTGTTATTGGGCAGTAAATGAGTCACCCAGAGCTAGAAATGAAAAGAATGAATTCAGTGGCTCTGATTCTCCACTCACTTTAAACCAGTTTAACTCCCTTGACTTTAATGAACTAACTCCTGATTAGCACCAGTGTGAGGGAAAGAATCAGGCCAAATAGCTTTTAGACCATAAGCTATTTGAGGCTGGAACTGTCATTTCCTATATGGATGTATAGCATCTAACACAACGGGGCCCTGATCTGTAGGCTCTTGGCATTGCTGTAATATAGTAATCATTACTAAGAGTTAACCTTAAAATGGCTTCACCTTCAAATGGTGGACAGGAGTAAGAGCTATGAGAGCAGGCCTAGTATTTGTAACATGCTTTTGAATCAATCTACCTGAACAATTTAGAAATGTCAATTTTGGGGTTGGAAAATAAAAAATTTTGTGCAAATTTTTCAACTAGTTTATAGATTTAATAGATTTTTTTGGAAAATTCAAAATTTCAATGAAAACATTTCAACTAAGTGTATCGCTGAATAATTATTCCTGTGGATCTAAATTACTCAACATTTTCCATTTAAACATGTTTATGTCCTAGTATTTTCATTCATTTTCTCATACTTCTGCGTACAGTATAGTTTGGATTATTTCAATAATTTGTAGCAATCCTGCGTAGTATTTAATTTTTCTCTGATTCTTTGGCAGAGTGATTTTGCCTTCATTTTATTTTTTCCCTTTCTATTCCTTCTAGAGATTATTTGGTACAATTCCTGCTAATCCATCTGCATGGCTAATTTGTTCACTGATCTCTCACTGTTAATCCTCAGTGCAGCTTTTGCTTTTATGTGTTCGTACTTTTCATCCTGTCTGTCTGCAAACGAGGTGGTTACCACCTGATATAGGCAAGGGCTTCACTTTGACAGATGCATTTGAATTCCCTGGCAGGAGAGGATTAGGATTTGTTTTTTAGCTGTGACTCATCCTCCTCCTGTCAAGGGAACTAGGAGTCAGTCTGAACCTGGGATTTGTGTTTTGTTTTGTTGCTTCAAGCAGCACATTGATATGCTGATAGTTTGGCATGAAGAGCCCGATCCTGTGATCCAGGGACTATCATATCCCACTAGAGGTAATGGCAGTTGATGGCTCTCAGCACCTCCCAGGATTGCATCCTTCATGCTGAAGAAACTACAGTATCCCTGGTTTGTCAATTAAGAAAAGGAACAAATCCTACCGAAGTCACAAAGGTTCCATATGATCCCTTGCTAATGACCAATTAGCATTAGTTAGGGCATCTCCATGTTGAATGACTCTTTGGAAACCAATTTAATATTATTTAATAGTTTGTCTCTGTTAAGGGATCACCTTCCATCTTTTCAGTCTGTCCTTCCCATTGCAGAATATATCTTGGATGACGGTTGATCAATTACAAGTATAAAATGTCCTTGGCTTATCACACTTATTAGTCAGTCTGTCTATTCTTCGGAGAATCATAGGTGAGCATTTTTCCCGTTATGGCAGGTGTCAACAGGTGGCGCTGTTGCACATAACCTTCCAAGTTCTTTTGTGTTATGACTTGTCTACATGGTAACACAGTTGCAGCAAGGTGTGAATGTAAAGTGCTGCACTAGCTTGCCTTGCACTAAGTGGACCCTACTACCACGCACTAAAAGGTCTGTAGTGCGTTTTGACACTAACAGCAGTATGAGGAAGCACACTACAGAATGTTTAGAACATGGTAGCATGGTCCACATGGCAACTTAGTATATGTCAGGCTAATATACAGTACGTTCACACCCTGGGTTGCCACACATTAAGTTGCTGTGTAGACAGGCCCTAAGTGTTTGAGCAAATGTTCAGTCTTAGAAGGACATTGCTATGTGTTGTTAGTGACTTAGTTACACTAGATTCTGTGTATAGGCAGTCTAAGGAGAGGGAGCTGTGTGAGCAGCAGGAATGTTTGCTCACTGCCTTGGTCTCCGGTTAGAGTCAGTTCTTGAGGCAGAATTGCTCTCTGGGCATTAGTGTTGAGTTGAGATGCCTGAAAGAAGGGATTGCCCTGCATGCTGTTTGTGTTTGTTTCTGTTCCAGGACTGGCATACGTGTGTAAATAAAACAAATTACACTTAGAATACACCCAGACTCTGTCACTGATTTCTTCACCACTGGGAAGCCAACTTGCAATGCCTCAAACATCTGATACCACTTGGCAGAGGGGCAACTCTGGCATCAGACTGAGACATGGATAATGTAATGTAAGAGGGGGCAACTCTATTCAGATAAAGATGCTTGGTTATCAAAATACATTTGGTGACTTAAGGCCTGAACCTGCAAACCCTAACTCACATGACTTGTGCTTACTTGAGTGAGTAGTTCTATTACTTCTATGGACTTTATTCCTTACTAAGAATTACTTCCAAGAGTCAGGGTTGGCAGGCTCTCCCCCATAACAAATTACCATTCTCCTTCCGATCCCCCTGGGGTTTTTTTCTTCCAGCAAATAAATGATGCAAATTGGAGTCCATTATTATGCTTATATTTGGGTTATTTATTATGGGATAGATAATGTAATTGATAAGAGACCTGATATTTCACATGCTCACCCATCCTCAGTGTTCTCAGTTGTCTTCCTTGAGTTATCTTTAGTTACTTTACTATTCCGTTCTTTGCCCTTTCCCGAAGGGTTTATAGGTGATTCCTAATGCTCATATTTTTGATATAATCATAGAATTGTAGGGCTGGAAGGGACCTCAAGAGGTCATCTGGTCTATCCCCCCCATGCTGAAGCAGGACCAAGCATACCTAGACCATCCCTGACAGGTGCTTGGAGGTTTTTAAGACAAGGTTAGACAATTATAGGGATTCAAAACCTTCCTTGGTCACCTATTCCAGTACTTAACTATTTTTATCATTAGAAAGTTTTCCCTAATATCTAATCTAAATCTCCCTTGCTAAAGATTGTCAGCTACTTCTTGTCTTACCTTCAGTGGACATGGAGAACAATTGATCACCATCCTCTTTATAAAACACCTTGACATATTTGAAGACTGTTATCAAGTCCCCCACAGCCTTCTTTTCTCAACACTAAACTTGCCCAGTATTTTTAACCTTTCCACATTTAAAAGGTTTAGAAAACCTGATCTCTTTTTAGTTGCTCTCCTCTGGGTTCTCTCCAGTTTGTCCACAACTTTCCTGAAGTGTGGTGCCCAGAACTGGACACAGTACTCCAGCTGAGGCCTCACTAGTTCCATGCAGAATGGGACAATTACCTCCCGTATCTCCCATATGACTCTTCTATTATAATACACCCCAAAATGATAGTGGCCTTTTCTGCACCGGCATCACACTGTTGGTTTGTATTCAATGTGTGATCCATTATAACTCCCAGTAGTATTGCACTACAACTGTCTAGCCAATCATTCTCTGTTATGTAGTTGTGCATTTGATTTTTTCCTTCTTAAGTGTAGTACTTTGCACCTGCCTTTAATTAATTTCATCTTCAGAACATAAGAAATGCCATACTGGGTCAGACCAATGGTCCATCTAGCCCAGTATCCTGTCTCCAACAATGGCTAATACCAGAGCTTCAGGGGAAATGTACAGAACACAGGGCAGTTGGCGAAATCTACCCCTGTTTTCTTCTCCTGTCTTCTGGCAGTCAGTGGTTTAGGACTGCCCCAAGAGTTGGGTTGCATCCCTGACCATCTTGGCTAGAAGCCATTGATGGTCCTGTCATCCGTGAACTTATCTAGTTATTTTTTTGAACCCAGTTATATTTATGGCCATCACAACGTCCCCTGGCAATGGGTTCCACAGGTTAATTGTGTGTTGTGTGAAAAAGTTACTTCCTCTTCTTTGTATTAAATCTGTTGCCTATTAATTTTTTGTACATTATGGGAAAAGGTAAATAACACTTCTTTATTAACTTTTCCCACATCATTCATGATTTTTAGACCTCTATCTCATTCCCCGTTACTTGTCTTTTTTTTTTAAGCTGAGCAGCCCCAATCTTTTTAGTCTCTCCTCTCATGGAAGCCATTCCATACCCTTTATCATCTCTGTTGCCCTTTTCTGAACCTTTTCCAGTTCCGCTATAACTTTTTTGAGACGGGGGTGGGTGGGAAGGGAAGACCAGAACTGTGGGTGCACCATGGATTTACATAGCGATTATGATATTGACTGTCTTACAGTCCATGGTTTGGGAATCTTCTCTACATTTGCATATCATGCTATCCATTTGTGTAGTAGGAAATTGTGATGCCTGTGTGAGTTTCTGAGGCATTTTACTGTGACCCTTATCTTACATGGCCTGGCAAAGCCAGGTAGCTGGTTTGTAGGATCCATAATGAAATCTTGATTCTTGACCTTGCTGTTTTCCCACAGCCTCTGCCATTTTTTGGTGATGGTCCCAAGGTTTTGAGAGCTTTGGCCATTAACCAGAAGTGATTTCAAGATTTAAGGCATCATTTGGGGGGCTTTTGAAGGTCTTCACAGAAAAGTTAGTCTGGATTTGTTGTATTCTCAGATTTTTGCAAACCACTGATAACTACTCTGAGTGTGTTTTTTTAACTAGTTGTGCACACACCTTATAGTAATTTAATCTAGACCACATTTCCTTAGTTTGCTTATGAGAATATCATGTGGGATTATGTCAAAAGCCTTATTATATCACATCTACAGCTCTTCCTTGCTCCAATAGTCCAGTAACCCTGACAAAGAAGGAAATTAGGTTGGCTTGGCATGATTAGTTCTTGAAAAATCCATGTTGGCTATTACTTATCATGCTATTATTCTGTTGGTGCTTACAAATTGATTTGTTCCAGCATCTTTCCATGTATAGAAGGTAGGCTGACTGGTTTGTAATTCCCTAGGTTCTCTTTGTTCCCTCTTTTAAAGATAGGTACTATGTTTGCCCTTCTAAAGTCCTCTGGGACCTTGCCCATCATCCATGAGCTCTTGAAGATCGTCACTACTGAGTCCAAGACTGCTTCAGCTAATTCCTTAAGTAGCATAGAATGAATTTAATCAGGGCCTGTCTAGAATATATCTAACTTATCTAAATATCCTTTAGCTTGTTCTTCCCATATTCTGGCTTGTATTCCTTTCCCCTTGCTAATATTAATTGTGTTAAGTATGTGGTTGCAAATTATGTTTTTAGAGGAGACTGAAGCAAAATAGACATCAAACACCTCTGCCTTCATTATATCATCCATTAGTAGCTCTCCTTCCCTGCTAAGTAGTTGACATAGCCTTTCTTTCTTTTTTCTCTTATTCCTAATGTATTTATAGAACCTCTTCTTATTTCCTTGCATGTCCCTTGCTGGGTGTAACTGTTGTTGTGCCTTAGCTTTCTGATTTGTCCCTACATGCTTGTGTTAGTCTTTTGAACTCATCCTTAGCAATTTGTCCATGTTTTCACTTTTTGTAGGATTCCCTTTTGATTTTCAAGTCATTAATGAGCTCCTAATGGCGCCAAATTAGCCTCTTACTATTCTTGCTATTTTTTCTTTGTCAGTATAGTTTGCTGTTGTGCCTTTAATACTGTCTCTTTGAGAAACTGTCACTTCTCCTGAACAATTTTTTCCCCTTCTGTTCTTCCCCTGGGACCCTACCTATCAATTCTAAGATTGTTAAAGTCTGGATTTTTATTTTTTTTTGAAGTCCATTGTCCTTATTCTGCTGCTTTCACTCCTTCCTTTCCTTAGAATCATGAAATCTATTGTTTCATGATCACTTTAATCCAAGTTGCCTTCAGTCTTCAGATTCACAACCAATTAGTCCCTGTTAGTAAGAACCAAGCCTAAAGTGGCTGCCCCCATGGTTACTACTTCCACCTTCTGAAACAAGAAGTTGTCCCCAACACACTCCAAGAACTTACTGGACACTTTGTGTTCTGAAGTATTACTTTTTCCAACAGATTTTAATCTTAAAACTCATAAGAAAAGTGCTAGTTATTTTAATACAGATCAGACTGGATTTTTGGAGTCTCTTAGAACTAAATCAGCAAACTAATTTAACGTTTGTATGAGATCATAAAAGTCAGTGCATGTGTGACTTAAAATAAGATTAGAATTTGACTCTAATGGTACCACTGAATCTTTGTTTTTGTTTTGTTTTTTTATCAAAAGAGTGAAAATTGTGATCTGTGATTAGTTTCAAACTAAAATGAAAATGTATAAATGTAATGGTACATTGAAATGAATGGATCAGCTCATTCATAAATTCTTTAGCATGGGTTTCTACGTCCGAGTTGTAGAAGAAGATAATGGAACCCGTAATCATTGAGTTGTAGATGATTTCAGCATGGTAGCCGCAGTTGAGGACACAGTAGTCACTTCATTGCTGTTCAAACAATGATTTAATTGTGTTCTCATCAATCTTTCTTTAACAGGTTCAAGGCAACTCAAAACACAATGAAAAAAATGACGGGCTTTCTAATCAGCACAATAATGCAAGTGAAGAAAAGATCCTACAGAATTCCACGCTAGCCCCCTTTCCCACAAAGTGGGTTAATCCAGAACAGAAAAGCCGGAAGATCAGAATGATGAAGTGTAAAATCAAATCAGAAGACAGAATTATTTCTGGGAGCGTTAGCAGCACCCCACAGAGTAACTCCTGCTCTTCATCCCAGGCCAGCAGTCCAGCAGCTACTTCACGGTCTGATACCACCTCTTTCAATGTAAGTGCAGGAACTAAACTGAACATCTCCAGCCAAGAAATCCATTTTCAAAGGCAAGAAGCAGAGACCAATGTTGACACAGGATTCACGGTAGTAAATTCTGAATGCAATCCATCTCCACTTAGCAGGTTTTCAAGGGACTTGCAGGACAGTCTTCCTCAGCCACAAGCACCAAACTATTCATTAGCTGCTGCTGGCTCCAGAATCAACTTGCCTTCTGAGGATAGAATCCATCTGTCATTATCTGCTGTCAAAAGAAATAAAGGAGCAGGACAGACAGCTTCAAACTTTCATTTGCGAATATCAAGAGCAAACCATGGAAATGGAAATGAAGAGGAGGAGGAATTCTTTATTTGACTTGAAACAAATGTGCCTGACAAACTGACTTTAAAACTGATAGATAAATGCTTTATTCTGGAAACAGAGAGAAAGCAATCTGCATGCTTTTAACTCTGTGTTTATACAGACACCAAGATGCCTAGGCTACCTGTTCTGTTATGAAAAAAGACTTCAGTGGGGTTTTATTGCAATAGAGTCACTTTATGTACAAAAATGCTAATGGGACAGAGGGCAAAACCAGAAAAAAAAAATCATGTGCAGTTACACAGTGAGTTTGATTCTTTTAAATACAGAACACCCAACAGCGTAATTGTGCAATGAATGGGAATAAGCCATGTGAGTCCTATTACTGTTTGTAAACGTTAATCAGTAGCCTGTGACACATTGTCTTGTGTAGTTGCATTAGAGGGATTTGGCAGTGGGGAGGCAGTGGAATGCCTAAAAATAGCAATGTGGATATGGGAGACACTGCATGAGTGTGAAGAGAGTTGTGTAGGGTACATGGAGTTCAGGTGTGTAGGGCACTCTACTCATAGGGGGAAGGGATAGCTCAGTGGTTTGAGCATTGGCCTGCTAAAGCCAGGGTTGAGAGTTCAATCCTTGAGGGGGCCATTTAGGGATATGGGGCAAAAATCCGTTGGATGATTTAATTGGGGATTGGTCCTGCTTTGAGCGGGGGGTTGGACTAGATCTCCTGAGGTCCCTTCCAATCCTGATATTCTATGACCTAAAGCAATGCCTCACCATCTACTCTGCTATTTATACCTGTGCTAGCTGGGCGTGCAGCGCCTGTACCCTATACGCTGCCATAAGTGTACATTTACCTTAGGTGGTGGCATGGTCACAACGTGTGAGCAGGCTTGCAATGTCTTTCTCCTTCTAGGTGCCCTCTCATTTCTCCTTCTGCCATCATCCAGACTTGAAAAGTGTGAATGTGATCATTCGAATGCATTTAAATGAGACTAAATCACACCCTGATACACCCCCATAATGCTACTTTTAAAATCAATCGTTTGAACTCTGTTTTCTCCCCACGAAGCATACACCCCCTGCCCTCTAGTGCTCCATGGAATAAAGTTAGAAACAATATGCATGATCTTTCTTAGACCTCTGTGCAATTATCAACAGGGTGAAAATCCCAATTGAATTTTAAATGGCAGGAGACAAACAGGAACCCTTGGAGCTGAGAGAGCTACCAGAATGGTAAAAGCTAAAAATTCAGTAAGCAGTGCTCACCAAAGGACAAATTAAACCATTCATTTAAAAGAAACCAATGTTTGTTATCAAGATTAGATTTATTTAAAGTTTTCCTACTCGAGAACGATTACCTGGGCCAGAAAGGAGGAGAGTTAGAGGGGGTTGACTGAGGGGGTCAAAAATTACGAAGAGCATGGCAAAAATCTGATCAGCCCATTTTACTCTCATCCAGAATATGAGGAACACATGGACCCTCACTGCCAAAAGAGGGTAAATTTGGAGTCATGACAAGGAGATGCTACTTTACACTGTGCCCTCGTGAAAGTGTCTGTTCTGTCCTGGCTGATGGAATGTTTCATAACAGAGGATTAGGGCTTGGCTAGGTTTACGTTTGTCATGATCTCGGCTGCTCTGAGGAGGAGTGGACTAGGGAGGGGATGACCAGTGCTGTGCCCCATTCATTTCAGATTTAGCCACATCACCATCCCTAGCCAGTGACTGGCCCACCTGAGACTTGTGAACTCAGGCAACCTGTTTTAAGCTTTGCACAGAGTATGCATTATACCAGAGCGCCTGAGGACCCAAGAATCCTGCAGCAGAATTAAGGTCCTGCTTACTGCTGAGTACCAGGGCCGTGCATATAACACTCCTGCTGCTACTGCACAAGGGCATTGAGACGCCCACTGCAGCTTGCCTGTTATGATCATTAACAATATTTGCGTCTATGCCAGCTAAAATAAGGAGGGTAAACATACCCTGTGCTTCAGTGTGTGACCTTGATTACCCATGCAGGTCCAAAAGGGTTAATTTCCCCTTTGTGAACAGCCTAGCCTAACTAGCCAGGGGGGCGCTGTGGTTTGTTGGCATTTTGGCTTGGGCCAGGCTAACTCCCACTTTCATTCCATCTACTTTCTCTTGAATAAATCTGCAAAAGGCTCCTGCTTAGACTTTGAAGTGTGGGTCTTCTCTGAAAAATAACTGTGTGATAGCACAGCATCCTCTTACTCAGCATAGCTGCTCTGCTCCTGTGGTCTCCGAATCCTATCTGTGTATTTTAGTGACACAAAATAAGCGGGGTCAGCTCCCGTATTAGATGCCCTTGCGTTGTTTGAGTAGGAGTTCTTTCTTTATAGGATTAAATGCCTGATTCTGAGCAGTGCTGAGCACCCTCCGTGGCCATTCAAATGAATGGGACCTGTGGGTTTTCAGGATCAGGCCCTAATACTGCCAAGATGGAATCAAATGAGCAAGAGCTATTGAGGCTGTTGTTCTCCAGCAGCACCGTGTGTGTGCTGGGAGACTGTGTCCTGATGACACATGTTCCTAACATTATTTTCATGTGCCACATATTGTCATACCGTGCCAGGCTGTCCTGAAAACATATTCTTATTTTCCTGTGTCCTGTGCAAAGGAAACCATACTGTGTGGCTTGACATTCAGAGTTATAGATCCGAGTTAGAACGTCCATTGCCAGAGATAACTGATCTTCCATTTTATACTTATACCACAAGACACTTACTTTTTTAAAAGATATTTCATCCTACAGTCTGTAGTAGTTTGAATTGTTTTCAATAAAACATAATGTGACATTTTACTGCACATAAGCTGATTATTAACAACAACACAGAATGGTATAAATTTACCCGGCACTTCACAAACCCAGAGCAAGGTGATTTGCCACCACTGGAGACATGCTAATATGAAGAGGCCAAGCCAACACAAGACAAGGGACAACAGTTCAGGCAAGGATTAGTGGTGGTGAATTACTGGAGAGGAGAATCAGGTAGTGGATGGATTCCTGGAATAAGAGGTTTTAAGAAGGGAGTTAATGGCTAGTGCCCTAACTATAGAAGTGTAGCTGTGATGGCATGAGTGGCAGCAGGGGTAGCCACCCAAGTATGTGTCTAGAGTCAGGAATGGGCTTGCACTTGGGGCAACTAACTTCTTCTGTCACTTGCATTGCTGTGCTTGCACTTCTATTTTGAACACACTAGCTTGATCACTTTCCAGCTCCAGTGAAAACAGACCCTGATTTGAGTGGAGCTAGTCCTAATTTTCCCTAGGAGAATCAGGCCTTGGGGGGAGGGTGGGGCAGAAGGGTGCCTTATGGACAAAAAAGCCAATGTCTCTAGCAAATAGAAAAGAATGGTGGTTCAAATTTAACAAAGGGAGGAGGCAACACTATGTTGGTGAGTGAGGTTTAAATGACTAGACAGGTAAGAGCAGTGAGGAGAAAACTCGGAGGAGCATAGGGAGCGAATAATGAGATCTACACAGGCCCAAGATCACCTAGGTCCTTGACACTGAGGGTTAGGAGCTATACTCTGATTTCTCTTCAGAGCAGTTTTTCCTAGTCGATAGAGCACTGGATTAGGACTCCGGAGCCCTGGGTTCTATTCCTAGCTCTGCCACTGGTCTGCAGGGAGACTTTGGGTAAAGTCACGGTCAGTCGCCGTGCCTCAGTTTCCCCCTCCGTAAAATGGTGACAATGATACTGACCTCCTTTGTAAAGTGCTTTGAGTTACACTGATGAAAAGTGCTAGATAAGAGCTTGGTGGTAGTATAACTTAATGTATTGGTATTTATAAAAGATGTTATTCTGGTAACGGGTGTCCCCTACAACACACTCCCCACAAGTCAAAGTCATAGTCTTGTATCGCCATTTGAAACAACAAATAATAAACTGCTTATTCCATTACAGGCTGCTAAATAGCTAAACATCTTCACCCTTGAATTCTCCAAGCAATGGATAGAACAACGTTCATTTCCACTAGTACCTGGAAGCCAACGTAGGCCTTGAAACATGTGCAGAAAGTAAATGTATCTAGTGGCCCAGTTCCCACTCACTACATGGAGGGCACATTGGTGGTATGTCCAGAGCTCACAGTTATTCTCTGCTTACCAGGTTCATGAAAAGCAGAGTGTAATTTAGAGCAGTCCAGAGGATGCTTTAACTGACAGCAGGGGCTGGGTAGGCTCTTGGTTGCCCCAAAATATGAATGCAGAGGTATCTAAAAGGCACTTCCAAGGCCCACACCACCCTGTTCCTATCCCAAATGCAGGAATAGAATCATACAGAATTGGGGCCAGTATTTCCCCCAGAAGAAAGTATTCACAATTTCAGCCACACACATGTAAAAGGAAAATTCCAGTGTCAAAATCTGATCTTCTTTTCATATGTCCAAACCAGCTAAGCCTGTATTCCCTCAGCTTTTCTGTAATTGGTACCACCTTTGCACTTCCCCTGATTCGCTTGTTCTAAACATGGTCCATCCTCGTAACTCCAAACATCCATTTTAACATTTTCACTTCCACTGTATCCAAGACCTGCTCTTGTTTAATCACATATAAAAGTAAATACGAAATTAAATGCATTTAAAAGAATAATTGACACTGAACAATTATCCAAGTGGAGCCTTGCTATTTATCAAGCTGGATCTACTGCAAAGTATCCTTACAATGGTATTTTCCACTGAGACCATTTACAGCTATGGGTATAATGAGGGAGTGACAGGTATTCTAAGAATGGTTCTGAATGATCACATGCAATGGACATAGTAGTAAATAACCATTTCTATAACAAATCACTGCCCTTTTCCTTAGCCTTATTGGTCTAGCTTTCTTGGAACTGCAGGTTCAGATCCCAGTAGATTCATATCCTTTGTCCTTCAAAACAGATGAACAAGAATGTGAGCCTTCCTAATATGATCTTTTAACAAACAAGGCTGTATCTGCCCAGTGAGGGCCTCTGCCCAGCCATTTTTTGTAAGAGTAGAGATTTAGCTCAGTTTTCACAGCTGATATGTCCTTCCTCTCTGTAGGATGCTGTACGCTCGTTGGCCCATAGCTCCCCAGCCTGAAGCATTTCACTAGTGCTGTTTGTCTGCAGTTTTGTGAAGTACTTGTGGGTCTTTTGGGACAAAATTCCCTAAATAGATGTTTGTATCCCAAGCTCCTGGAGCCTTTGTTCTATGGTTCCATTTAAAGGTTTTCTCTAATATAAATGGGAATTGCTATTTCTTTTCAAAATGAGCAACAGTATCTTTACAGTGATGATCAAAGTGTCC